GAAGAAAAAGAAAAAGAAGAAGAAGAAGAATTCTCATCATCATCGAATCGAGATTTGGGTCCGAGTCCAATCGAGGAAGTGGAAGAAAAGGTATCAGAAACGATTTCCGCGTGCAACGACGACATCGTCTTCAACAACATGATGGGGAATTACGGGGACTTTGTGGAGATCCCTTACGTGGCTGGCATAGCTGAGATTGTTGTCGGAGACGATGAGGATGATCACGAGGATGATGACGATGATGATGGGTGCCGTGTAAGGGACACGATCCGGATCCCGATCCCGGGTTGCAGCAGCAGCAGAAGAGACATCCGGGATCCTTCTTCTTCCCCGCCTGAGGCGATTCCTGTTGTTGCTGCTGCTGCTGGTGGTGAAGCTGGCAACAGGTGAAACGCAATTTTTATTATTCAGGGTTGTCCGCAAAAAAAAAAAAGATCAAGAATAATTTAAAATTTTGGACTCAATTTAGATTTCTGCGATTTTATTACAGGAACATATTGTTACATTAAATTCATGCGGATTCTCGGCGAAAATGTTTTGATGAATAATTTTTTGATGATGAGATTTTTGAAATCAATGACTGGGAACATTGTTTCGAATTAAAGCTGATTGATTGTTTAATTATGAATAAATTATTATTCAAGAACTGAATTATTTAGTATTATCCAAGATCTGAATTAATTATTAGTCAAGATCCGAATTAATTATTATTCAAGATCTGAATTAATTATTATCCAAGATCTGAATTAATTATTATTCAAGATTTAAATGCTTTAATTATTTTTCAAGATCTGAATTTACTATTCAAGGTATGATTTTTTTCAAGATCTGAATTTATTATTGGAGGTATGATTTTTTTCAAGATCTGAATTTATTATTGGAGGTATGATTTTTTTTTCAAGATATGAATTATTTATTTTTCAAGATATGAATTATTTTTCAAGATATGAATTATTTTTCAAGATATGAATTATTTTTCAAGATATGAATTATTTTTCAAGATATGAATTATTTTTAAGATATGAATTATTTTTCAAGATATGAATTATTTTCCAAGATATGAATTATTTTTCAAGATATGAATTATTTTTCAAGATCTGAATCAATTTTTAATTCAAGATTTGATTGCTGTAATTATTTGTCAAGATCTAAATTTATTATTCAAGGTATGGTCTTTTTCAAAGATTTGAATTATTCATTTTTCAGAATCTGAATTAATTTTTATTCAAGATTTGAATGTTGTAATCATTTTTCAAGATCTGAATTTATTATTTAAGGCATACTTTTTTTTCATGATATAAATTATTTATTTTTCAAGATCTGAATTCATTATCGTTCAAGATTTTATTTTCAATATTTAAGATGTTCCTTTTCTGGCCTTGTCGAGCGTTTTACCATGTTTGAAATTATCTAAAAAAATTCTCAAATCAAATTCCAGTTTCTCCTCCAATTTGACTCGGGAAAAGGTGTTCAACTGTCATAGCACAAAGAAATCTTTAAAGTAAAAATGTTCGTCTTTGTGATATAAAGCAGCTGAAACTTTATTGCCTGTATATATCACTTATAGAATCGCTCTTCAATTATTGTTTCTGCTCCACCCTGTATAATATCGCTTCGGATTTTGCAGCTATACTCAACATGGCTCTCTATTTCTTTTTTCGTGCCCTCGGGTCGTGGGGGGTTTTTAATGCAACAGGAAGCCGATGCCGTCGGAGAACCTCAAAAAAACTTTTCAGATGTTGCTGGGCAAGCCAAAGTTCGAGAGCAGAGGTACTGTTCCCCTGAAGGTGGCTGTTAAGCGAACCTGGGCCGACAAATACAAGCATCTTCTGGAAAAGTGCGTCCCCTGATTATTGCTGTTTTTGCCGCGCGCGCGCGTGTGTGCGGATTGTTCATAGATGTCGCACAGTTTCCTTGGTTCACTTCATATATTCACCTCCACGCTCATTATTTTGCATG